ACTTACATCGACTACTTCCTCGAACTCACAGCTCAATTTATATTTATGTGAACATGGTTGTATATTATTTTACATTAGTACATAGAAACTAAAACTTATTGAATAGAGAAGCACTTAAAGCAAAAATCAATTCTTACAATCAATCACCACTAAGTTAGTTATTTAGAAGAAGCCCCTTCAAATGCTCACAACCTATTAGCATTGAAAAACAATGCAAATACCATTTTAATCTAATAAAACAATGGACAAAACTGTTTGAAATGGAGGTTTGACTTCAACGAGGTGGTGGGTGCTTGCCTTATTGAGATTGTCCTCCGTTCTCTCTTCACCATATGCAAATACTGTATAAATTCTACATTATAATTCGCAATTGATTCAACTAGTACTTTCACTCAGTCAACAAAGTGAACAACCAAAATAATCAGCTAGACAAACAGTTTTAGGTAAATTCCATTTCTAAAGATGGCATGCAATTGAGTGAAGTGTTAGGTCACTCGCGAGAAGATAATCCCCTCATAATTACTTATCCAAATTCCATTCGGTATTTGGATTATTACGAATATGTTTGATTCAGGTATAGTATTTGTGGAATTGCTCTACTGATTCCAATTTAATCCATAATTGTAGTAATAATTGATCAAGCACTTCATCCTAAAACCCATTGTATCATGTTTGGATAAGATCGGGCTCTATTCTTTATTACAAATCTCATGTTCAATGATAGATTAAATTAATGTATGATACAAGGGAGAATAACATTTTTTACATCCTGAAAGAGTAAAACATCCTCACTTTACAGCGTCAAAAAAATAAAATTTTCACATTGCACCTTAGATGTATTAAGTTTGTTAACCAACCTCCAAACTCGGTGATTCAAGTTGATCCAGATGCTACTCAACCACTCCTACTGCCACCATTACTGGCCTCGACTATCACTGCCACCACCACTACTAACCTTTGCCTTCCCTCACCACCACCACCACCACCACCAACATTCCACCATACCTGCCACTACCCACCACCACTATGCTACTGTTGGCATCACCATTACCATAATTGCAACCACCTGGATCACATGATTCACTCCTTTAAGTAATTATTAATTTGGACCTCAGCCCAAGTAAAAGCAAAATTTTGAAGTAATTATTAATTTGGACCTAAGCCCAAGTAAAAGCTTGACAACAGTCCAACATATCGGGACCCAAGATGAGGCCCAATTTTTCTTAACAAAAAAGGTAAGAAAGCATTGCGATTTATTAGTTGCCTTCCACTTCCTTTTCCCATATGCAGCCGAAGTAGGATCCAAGTAGTATTTATACTTGTGTTTTCTTTCCCCTTGCTGCTAGGTATCGGATGTGTGAACAAGCATTTGTAAGGTAGGCTGCTACTAGGCCGTGTTTCCTTTTCTTATTGCTTTTACCATAATCTGATTTTCTTATTTTTGATACTTTGACAGTGTGTATCAATATGTCATATATAATTTGATGCTCTTAGTGACGCGTCCGCTCTCTAATTTTTTTTTGAAAATTTATGCTCTCGCACTCACTCCCACTCCGGCTCCCGCACTCATTTACGCTCTATGTGATCTAGGTCACAAGCACCCACATTGCCACCTCTTTCACTAGCATTGTCACTATTACCACCATAGCCACCACCACTACAACTTACCACCCTACTGGCCAACATCGTCAACCTTCGCCATCACCATCACTTGTACCACAACTCCACCATATCTACCATTACCCCACTATCATTAGCCCTACCTCTATCACCCACTTATCACTATCACTATTGTCTCTCACATGTCTCCACATCACCACCACTCACCTCCCACTTACTCACTATCACTACGACCACATCACTCACCACCATCACCATCACTACCACAACTACCATCACCACCAACACCACAACTACTATTTCCCCACAAACACCACCCCACCACAACCACTATCATCACCACCTCCACAACTACCACCACCTTAATATTGTCACCACCCTCGCTTCAACATAATTATTGTCACCATTATCCTCAATTATACCACTCTTGACCGTAGTCAACATCCCACCATTACCACTCCACCCCCCACCCACATATAACCACCACAATCATCATGCCACCATAAGTGTGATCACCGCTACCTCACCCCAACCACCATGGTGGTGGTAACAATGGTGGCATGGAGGTTGTAGGTTATAATGACGTAGTTATGGTTGGGTGATAAAGGTGGTGGTAATGAGGAGTGATAGGGTGGTTGTGGTGCTGGTGATGGTGGAGGAATAGTGGTGGCGATTGTAACAGAGTAGGTGACAACAGGTGTTGAGAGTGGTGGTGTGCGATGGTGGAGAAGGTAATGGTAGGGTGGTCACAATAATGTAGTATGCCAGTGGTGGTGATTATGAAATGATAGTGATGGTGGTGGTAGAAATAATGTAAATGTGGTAAGATGGTAAAACACAAAGACAAATTTAGGATAACAACAATTTTCAAACTTTAATTTTTTGTATTTTAAACAGTTTAATTCAATTCAGTACTCAAATTTCAGTGAATACTAAACAACTTAGAGACTAAAAAATTGAAGATCGAACGCAGTACTTAATTTTTAGTTTTATCAAATACCACTTTAATTATAAATGGAAGCCTTGTGCATTATAGATGATGTTTTTATTTAAAATATAACAACATGAAAATATGATGAAGATTCATGCCGTGGTTGAAAACAATGAAAAGAGATTAGACTGATGGGGAAGGCCCTACACACGCCCCTTTCATGAAGACAAAGGAAGAATAGCTGAACATGCGTAATCAATTCGAGCTGGAAATTTAGAACTCGAAATAACTCCTCAAAGAGCATGCATGTCCTGAATTTATAACAGTTTATAAATTAGTGGCGGGAGTCGGGATTACACTTTTTAAATTGCGAGTGATATTTTCTAACTCAATGATAGTTCAAATGATAAAAAGATGAGTTATAAACTCGAATTTTGACAATTTTTTAAGGTAGACTATGAGAAATTCATCCCTTATAATGAATTCTCTAGTCCCGATATGGATGACATACTTTTGACCGGACTAAAGAGTGGATTAGTCAAGATGTGTATAAAATAACCCGGACACTACTGACTGTTGAACAAAAAAACAGAGTGACATTGTCTACCATTTACCAAGCCAAACTTAGCTAACAAGAGCCCTGTGCATTGTATAGCAACAAGGAAAACAAATATGATTTAATGCTATGGTTGAGAAGATATCAGAGTGGCAGGAATGCCCTAGTAACTAACCCTCCTCCTCAATCAAGACAAAGGGAACAGTAGAAGAACATGTACAATCAATTCCATTGCCAGACCCAACCAGAACTCGAAATAACTCCTCAAAAAGTGCTTTTAGCATGTGGCCTACATTGTATGGTTGATATGAGTTCATCCCCATCTCACCCTGTTCATTTTGAGGGTGTTAGCTACATTATGTTTTGCTGTGATCATTTAGATAAAAAAGCCAATACATACGAAAGATGGGCATGTGCTTGCACATGTTGACAGGCCTTCCATCGTTTTCGGGGTTTTCATTGCACATGGATGGGATAAGAGGACCTAGGCCCCAACATGTACTATGTTATGACAAACTGACCACTCTATCTGCGCTTTACATATGTTGATGCTATGCGATATTCGGGTTGTTGACCCGAGTCGATGGGTTGAAAGTTTTGGATACTATGTTCTAAGTTAATGAGTTGCGAAAGACTATTTCTTTGCCCAACCTTACCCGATTGAGGGTAATGTTTTGAGATGAATTTTGTTCAAAAAATCAGCTCAAAAGGTTGGATATGCGGAATGTCTCACAACTCAACTACTAAAATATAATATAAAGATTTGTAAACTAACAAAATAAGCTAATAAAACTAAAATAGACACAATAAATTTGATTAATATGTTATGTAATAATCTAAAATACCATAAATAAAACACAATTACAAAATAGTCGCTAGTTGAACGTAGGGTGACATCATTTTTAAGAACAATAGTGCCACTCAAGCTTAATTTAAGAGTCTTTAACTTATAATGATTATAGAATTGATAGTGGACTTCATTCAATGTTGAGATTTTTTTTTAATCCTATAACAATGTTCATTAAGTTCTAAGTTAGATCTGCATAACAAATCCAACATGTATTACCTAAAAAATATTTGAAAAAGCGTTATCAAATGATTTTCTAGTTTATTTATTTATTTTTCATAAAGATAAATTCTGAATGCTGCCCATCTTTTTTCCTAAGTTATCATGCCAGCAATTAGTTTATTATGTTATAACAACTTTGATATTAATTTTTGCGATAAAATAGCATGGAAAAACATATATTACTCATTTATTCTCCAATAAGGATTGATTTTTGGGGTCTACAATAAGATTTATAAGCATATTTTGTGTAAGATTTGTATCTTGTATGCTATTTTTTTTATGACAAATCACTCACCACCGTGAATTTAAGTGGAAAATATTGCATATGAGTAGGTCTCGTACTAATATACAAGAGTACTAAATCTTTCATTGAGAAAAAATGATAAGAAGTATATTGAACATGCTTTGGACCCACTATATAATGGTGAACAGGAGTGCTAAAATAATTGATGCTATATTTCTATCATGCTACAATAATACTGCATCAAGGAAAGAGTTTAAGTTCGGTCAATCACATTGGAGAGGGCTTGAAAGTATGCTTGTCAATACTATCGGGTGGGACAAGTTCATGCTGAGTCTTGGTGGGTTCGTGTCAAAAAATATTTCATTCATACCTAATTCATTTATGTACTAATTTACTAAATGAGTGGGTTAAAGTAGATTTAAACCCTCTAATTTCATATCGTATTAACGGTACTCTCCCTAAAAAGCAACCTATGATGGTTCTCAAGATTAAGGGTATTCTCGTAATTTCAGCGATCAACAGTGCCTTTATGTCACATTCTGAAACTCTACCATGGACTATGTGTGCTTAACCCACTTGAGGGGCACATAGGCACTCCTATAAATAGAGTTATCCTCCTTCACAACTCTTCACAGCTTTTCTCTCAATTCTGCCTTTACACTCATAAACTGCCTTCTTTAAGACACAGCAATGGCAAGGAAACAAAGCATGCTCACATTTTGTTTCGTCCTCATGCTTGTTTCTCTAGCCCAAACCCAGGTAAGCCTTTCTCTCTCTCTCTCTCTCAAAACCTAAATTCAATTCTAATCCATTTTCAAGTGTAAATGCCCCTTTCATTGCTCACAGGCACAAAGTGTAAATAGACACAAACTTTTCTCTCTCTTCTTGAATGTACTTTTTGTTGGTGTCTGCAGGCTTTTAGTGAAGGATTCCCAGCTTCTCAGCTACAGCCACAGGGCTACCACCAAATGGTAAGACCATTTATGAATCCTCCTCCGTTCACCATAAAAAAAGTAATGTTATTTTCACTAACTTTTTTATTTTAAGCGATGTAACACAATCTTTATCATTGAATATTCGTTCAACATAACAGTGTTGCAATAAAAATATTTCATACTTGACAGATACCACTTGACTTTGCTATTCTTAACACATGAAGCATATTTTGATACTGTCATGGCTAACATTTTTTGTACTCTTGAACTGCAGTATGGTGTGACACAAGGCAGCCTTCGTCCTCAAGGTGGGTTACACAACTAAATTCTTTTCTAAAGCGAATTTGAATTAGAAAAGTTTCTAATTGAGCTTAATTTCTAGCTCATCCCACCAAGATGACCCATAATGTAACGAATATGAACTCTAATCCAGTGTATTATAGATAGATTTCATTTTGCATCCTTAAACCCGAACGAGATCTTGTTTAACCCTCTTTATTATTAAGTTTTTGACACTATCCTTCAAACTATTTGAATCAGTTTCACATTGTCCCAAAGTCAAAAGTCTATTTGGTTTTTTTGAGTAAATAATTAGATTGTTCTGTTAAGACACGAGGAATGTGCAATTTGTTATATAGTTGAAGTTTTTAGACCCAAAAAAAGAAAAATACAATTGGAGTTTCAAAACTACCCGCAGCTAAACTCTAACCAACTATCATCCCATTATACCACCTCAATTTACAAAGAGTGAGTCTCACTTCAATTTACTGTAGATAATCTACTATTGAGAAGAAATTGAAAAAAAATATAGTGGTAGGTGATTTACAATCACCAACAATAAATGGGTGAGACGTGCACATGTAAATAGTGTGTTCTTTGTAAAATCGAGCATTTATTTTCATCAAACTGGTTAGATTGAATCGGCTTAATTTGAAGTAATTGGGTAAGCCTAATTGGATGCAGAATGTGCACCAAGATGCACCACTCGATGCTCGAAGACAGCATACAAGAAGCCATGCATGTTTTTCTGCCAGAAATGCTGCGCAAAGTGTTTGTGTGTCCCTCCTGGCACATTTGGCAACAAGCAAGTTTGCCCATGCTACAATAACTGGAAGACAAAGAGAGGAGGCCCAAAATGCCCCTGATGATACTTGGCTCTATTAGACACAGCTGCTTGACTACCATTGTTATGCTTATTTTTCACTTTGTAAGCAGCCTGTCATTTGACTGACTTCAGTTGCTGGGCATTTCAGTCCTATTATATGTAGCATTGTTTATGAGAATAGCTAACGAGTGATTATCGGTTCATTCTAAATCGAATTTCGAGTGTATGTAATTCTGTATGGATTTTAATTTTTGACACGTTATTTTAACATGACAAACCCTGTTTGTTAATGCCAGGGGTGGCCAAAAGGGCAAGTCAGTAATTTAGCGCTCCCAAATTTGTAGTAATGGTCTTTCAGTAACTAATTGAATTAGGCCCAAAAAAATTTAAAATTCAAAAGCCCAAGCAAGTACACAATGGTAGTAGACAACAAATCATAGAATAGGAAAAGATTCTACCTCCTTCATAAATGTATATTCTTTTCTTTTTGCCAATGGTCCGATTACTCCAACAAAATTGTCTTTTATTATAATTAGATCATTTGAAGTTTATCACTTAATCACTCATATTCCTTAACATTTGAAATATTATATACATATTCCCGAAGTTTGTATGCGCGTAATACTTAGACTTCTGTTATAAATATATTTGTTAATAAATTACACTTAAACCCCTTGAAGTTTGTAGGTATATAATATTTAGACTCATTAAGTTTAAAATATTATACTTACACAAAAAAATATTCCAATCAAAGATAGAATATCAAATATTTTAAATTTTACGACCAAAATTCATGTTCTATTGTATTATTTATTGAAATAAAATTAAAATTAAAATTTTAATTTTTTTTAAAAAATCGAATAAGATTAAAAAATCAAACAAGGGGTCTAAGTAATTTATAATAGAACATGAATTTTAAATAAAATTTAAAATAAAAATCTAATTTTTAAAAAAAAATCATAGTTAGTATATAATTATATTATCTATTAGAATAAAATTTAAAAAATTAAATAAGGGGTTAAACTGTAATGTATACAACATCTTTTAGCTGTAATTGAGGTAGTTTGATATTTTAATTTGGTCTTTTAAACGATCAAATTAAATTTCAATAGACAATATAATTGTATACAAATTATGAATTTTTAAGAAAAAATTGAAATTTTATTTTTTATTTTATTTCAATAAATGATACAATAGTAGGGGTGCAACTTGGGTTGGGCAACCCGATTTTAACCGGAGCCCAACTCGAAAAAATTAGTGCTTGGGTAAGGGTTTTAATACTTGGGTTGGGTTTAGGTCAAAAAATCTCAACTCGAATTCAATTTGGGTGGACCTCGGGTTGACTCCTCGGGTTCAAGGGTTGAACTCAAATATTAAAATCAGGCTCAACCCGAATTACTATTATATAAATACAATTTTATAATTTATACTAGGGTTAATCTGATTTTATTACCCTTATAGACTATGTATTGCTTATGTTTGTATTCTGTTAAACTGGTTCTGTGCAAGGCAGCAGTATTATGTTTTGCAATAACAGTAGTACTGTTATTTCTGTTAAACTGGCAGCATTGTTATTTCTGTTAAACTGGAAGCAATTTTATGTTTTGCACTAGCAGCAGTGTTTATCACTTTGTGTTCTGTATGGTTGTGGTTGCATTGAGTTCTTAATATTATAGTTTTTATGTTAAAAACTTGATTGAAGTTGTTGTTTGTTAAATTATTTGAATATTATGTAATATATATATTAGGTTTAAAACATTAACCCGAAATCAGCCCGTAAAGTAACTCAAAATCAACCCAAAATTATCAACCTGAATTCAACCCGAGCCTGTTCGATTTAAACTCGGGCAGTGCTTGGGTTGAGTTTATCAACCCGAGATAGGGTTAGGATCGAAGATTATTTACCTAAGGTTGAGTTAAAGTTAACTGTCTAACCCGCCCGAGTTACACCCTTATACAACAGAATATGGATTTTAATTGTAAAATTTAAAGTATTTTTTATTTTATCTTTAATTGAAGTATTTTTTGTCTACGTATAACATTTTAAACTTAAAGGGTCTAAGTGTTACGTGTGTACAAACTTCGGGGGGTTTGCATGTAATATTTTAAATGTCAGGAGAGTCTGGGTGATTAAGTGACAAATTTTAAGGGGTCTAAGTATAATTTTCCCTATTAAGTAAGAGTTTTTTTGGAGGCAGATATCTATGCCCAATAAGATTTCAAAAAACATTTACTCATAAATTTGCTTTTGAATTAGGTTCTGATGAAAAGTCAAAGCAATGGACATCACTAACGTCCTTTAAAATTGCAAAAATAAATACAATGTCATCATGTAATTGAAACATCTATTCTAAAAATCTAAGTCATCATAATATATATTCTTCTCCATAAACACAAATCGTCAGACAGGTACCCTAAAAAATATGGCATGTTCTCGATGAACGTACCCATTAATTGGTGATTCGGAGATACATTAAAATACATTTACTAATAGCGGCTGAATATAAAAAGTAATCACGCTCACAAAAATTTATGATTACTCACAAATATATATATATATATATATTAACAAACACAACATATCATATATGACGAATAACATATACGATCATTCAAGTATATTATACGAATATATACATCCACGAGATAGGTACATCAGTATTTAATCGAGAAGAATGTATATATACGTCATTACAGGTACACAAGTATATAAAACTAAATACAATTTAAAATTACGTAAATTATAACAAATATATACATAAACCTACCAACGAATAAATAAAACTTAACTGCTGTGATCTAATTTATGTATCTACTAAATCAACGCTTAAAATAAATGGTCAACATATTCCAAATTGCTTGGTTCACGAATTTGAAATTCAAAATGGATAGACAACACCACAAAATCTTCAATAACAAACAAAAAAAAGGAAGCAAACTAATTGTACTTTAGACTAAAATCATGTGATGAGGACAAAATAAATAATGAAAATACACTAATTGTCGAACTCATATATGTTAGCGCCCAAACAAGGACCACATACAATTTTTTTAAAAACACGAAGGATCTTTTTATATATTAAAAATTCAGTAAAACTAAAATTAATTTACACATCAAAGAAGGGACCCTAGCCTAATTAACTATTTAAATAAATGCTCTCTCCCCCCCTCCCCAGTGGCCCAACACTACACAAATTAGACAATGTTATACTCATACAACTCAAAAAAATGATAACAGCTAGGGGTGTTAATCGAGACAAGTTACTTAGGCTTGATTCGGATAGGACTTGGCTCGAGCTTAAACTCGTGTTCTAAATGAGTTGAGTTTTAATAATTTTTTAAGCTCGTTTAGGAAAATAAACCTAAAAAGACTCAATTTGAGCTTGCAAAACTCGACTTGTTTATATGTAAAATAATCGAGTTGCTCGGGCTCGTGCTCGATTCGAGTTCTAAATAAGCCAAGCTTAAACAAATTTTTATGCTCATAATTTAGAAAAATAAGTTTGACAAACTCGAAATTAAACTCACAAAGTTCGATTTAATTTACTCCTTTAACAACAGCCACCACAACAACTGGAAGACAAAGAGAGGAGGCCCCAAATGCCTTTGATGACTTTATTTGACATTGCTTGACATTTCTTTTTCATACGCTACCGACATTTCATTTGGGCCATTGATGTAATTTTTCTGTTCTTGTAGCCGTTGATTAGTTTAAAAAGTGGGATACCGGTTACCTGCTAAATCGGTAATGAAAAACAGTAGGAACCCCTGCCCAAAAAAGTTGAAATCTTTACCCAAAAAAGTTGAAACCCCTCTCCCTAAAAAAGTTGGAACCCCTCCCCCCAAAAGGTTGGAACCCCTATCCAAAATAGTTGGAACCCTTTCCCCCAAAAGGTTGGAACTCCTACCCAAAAAATTTGGAATCCCTCCTCTCAAAAGTTGAAACCCCTACCAAAAAAAGTTGGAACTCCTCCCGCAAAAAATTAGAACCTCTACCCAAAAAAGTTAGAACCTCTACTTAAAAGAGTTGGAACCCCTCCTCCAAGAGTTGGAACCTCTACTCAAAAGGTTGGAACCCCTACCCAAAAAAGTTGAAACCCCTCCCCCCAAAAGGTTGGAACCCCTACCCAATAAAGTTGGAAGTCATACCCAAAAAAATTGGAACCCCTCCCCCAAAAAGTTGAAACCACTATCTAAAAAAGTTAGAACCTCTACCCAAAAAAGAGGGAACCCTTTCCCCCAAGAGTTGAAACTCCTACCCAAAAAAGTTGGAACCCCTATCCAAAAGAGTTGGAATCTCTCTCCCAAAAGGTTGAAACCCCTACTCAAAAAAGTTAGAACCCCTACTCAAAAAAGTTGGAATCCCTCCCCCAAAAAGTGGGAACCTCTACTCAAAAAATTTGGAACCCCTACCCGAAAAAAGTTGGAACTTCTACAAGAAAAAAATGGAGCCTCACCTAAAAAAGTTGGAACCCTTCCCCCCAAAAGTTGAAACTTCTACCCAAAAAAGTTGGAACCCCTACCCAAAGGAATTGAAACCCTTCCCCAAAAAAGTTGGAACCTCTACCCAAAAAATTTGGAAGCCCTACCCAAAAAGGTTGGAACCTCTCCCCCAACAGTTAGAACTCACCTCAAAAAGTTATAATTCAATTAAAAAAAGTTGAACTTTGAAACCCTATCCCAAAATAGTGCAAATCTCACCATAAAAGTTGGAACTTCTCCCCCAGAGCTCATCTTAAAAAGTTATAACTTAATTCCAAAAAATTGGAACCCCTAGCCAAAAAAAGTTAGAATCCTTACCGAAAAAGTTATAATTCAATTCAAAAAAAGTTAAAACCTCAAGCAAAAATTGGAACCCAAAGATTTGGAACCTCTACCAATAGTTAGAACCAACCCCAAAAAATTATAACTCAATTAAAAAAATTGAAACGTGAGCCAAAAATATAAACTAATGCATAAAAGTTGAAATTTTATCTCAAAAAATTAGAACCACCCCAAAAAAATATAATCAAATCCTAAAAAATTAAATCTCATACCAAAAGCTTATAATCCAATTCAAATAGTTGAAATCTGACCAAAAGAGTTATAATCTAACTAATTGAAGTCACCCCAAAAAATTGGACCCCAATCTAAAAAAAGTTATAACCATAACCCAAATAGTTGGAAACATTATTTACAATTGTTTTAATTATTTAATTTTATCCATTATTTATTTGTTGTTAATAAAAAATGAGACTATTTAAGAAATATTGAATATTTTTGGACAGTAGGATTTTTTTTTGATTATTTAAGGGATAAAAGTGTGATAGTTAAGGGATAAAAGTGTGACTATTTAAAAAATATTGAATATTTTTAGAGAGTAGGATTTTTTTGATTATTTAAGGGATAAAAATGTGA